CAGCTTACATCCTGCGACAATACCTTTAATATTATTAAACAACATCTGCCTATCCCAGGTCCTTCGGAAGGACTTGATAGGTGGACAAAAATGCCAATCTAAACATCTGGCTGACTGTGCGACCAACCGTAATAATAATAATGGTCTCTTCCCACCTCTTCTAATATTTTGGCAGCTTTAATTATTTCTCAGGATCCATGCTCCCCCCTCCCCCAATATCCAAGAACATATACAACAGAAATTTGTATTTGCCCAGCCAACTGACTTTACCCCTTTGGAGCTCTAATAGCAATTTCTAAGACCTATTAGCTCACTACCTCTCATCTTAATCTGGTCTCAAGCTCCTGTTGAATTCCCAGCCTTTTTGCAAAATCATAAAGACCAGAAGGTACTTATCAATTCCCCCAACACACACATGATCCCTCAACACATAAGTCATCCTACCTGACCCTGAAACAGGTGAGAGTCCCCAGCCCTTCCCTTTCTATACTCCACTGCTGCTGCTAAGGATCTCCTGTTCTCTGAATTCCAGACAACAAAATGCCTGCAGTTCCCTCCCAACACTCTCTCTATCTCCTTTCCATGCTATGACTTTGCCCAGGATATACAGAGACAATGATCAGCAAAGCACATGCAGAGTTAACATGCTTGCCAACGGGACTGTCAACTGACCATGAAAGAAAAAGGGTCTTGATCTGCTCTTGTGCCTTTGATCACAAGCTGATTTACAGACTTCCGAGGGGGAAGTGTCTTAGCACTGCCACCTCCTAATTCCTGAATATCAGGAGCCTATTAAAAGAACATACAGTATACAGGCCCTCTATATAGGGCCAGGTCAAAAGTTGCCATTCTTACTTAATGAGAGTAATCTTAAATTGTTTCCCACATTGTTGCAGTTACAGGTCAGAGAATGTAACATCTCACTTTCATCAGTGCTTCAGTGCTGCTACCCCAGTCCCAGTCTTCCTATTGCTCACTCAGACCATCTACCTGTGGGCTCCAGATGTCACCAAATTACAACTCCCAGATTCTCTCTCCATTAGTCATGCTAGTTCAGGCTGTTTAGAGTTGTAGTTCATCAGGATCTAGAAAGCCAGTTTGCCCACCCCTATACTAATGCTTTGACCACTTACTCGGATATTGAGGCTGGTGACTACCACGTCCCCAGTGGGAGTGATAATAGGGATGTTTTCACAGATAATCCCATGATCAACATCAATCACGTGTCCTGTAAGCAGGAAAGAATGGGTCAGGAGGGAGATGGGAGAGAAGAAAAGACTGAGCCTTATATTCACAGTGAAGGAAGCATTTCATTGCAAGAAATGCTGACCCTCTCAGCAGAAAGAGGCAGATTTAACCCTTTGTCAATTCTTTCTCTAACTCTATGACTCATTTCAAACAGGTGGAACCTGAACCAATCTTCCTGGGTCAACAGACACAATCTGAATTTTTACAGCACGTTGTGGGCACGTTCATAAAATGGCTGCTATGGAGGCTTGAGAGTTTACTAAGTGGCTACCATAGTGAAAATAGCCTAACATAGTTTTTCATACAGTGAACTGGTAATGTTGTTCCCCAATCTTTATTTCTAATCCCTCTTTGCAGGAAATTTCTTACAACCCCAGCTTATTTTTGTCTATTTTTCCCTGTGGCCATCTGACAATTTTTATTTTCTAAAAATGCTTTTTAAAATTAGTGTGGGATCCAGAAATGTCCTTATAAATAAAATTGGCAATCGAATCTGGTGCTTTGCTGCATACTGTTTCCTATTTATTTATTTTAAAAGTATCTTAAAAAATTAAATTGGAGTGTGATAATAGGCCTCAATACTTGGCACACTGCCTATCAGATATAGCGTGGCATATCTGAATTGAGCCTAGCAAACAGCTATCCAATAACATAGTAAGATATAATCCTCCCTCCTTTCCTCCCAAATAAATGAAAAGGGCAGATCCTTAAAACATTTGACAAGGATCAGGGAAAGCGTGCAGGTATGATATCATCTTGTTTGTACAACCACATTGAATATTATAGAAATCACCTCTCAGGACATACAGATAGGAGGGGAAAAAAGGCTGTGAAGATGTATCTGAATGAGTTAGATGGTAATGCCAGCTGCAACCTTAGTCAGGAAATGACTAAAGTTTCCTTTGAACAGGGCTGGGCTGCCTTGGATAGCCTTGTCCTTCTAGTGGCAAGCAAAACTAGCACCAATGACATAAGAGGAAATCCTGCAAAACAGATTATGAATTTTATACCCTTCAAATATGTTGAATTTGCATAATTTACACAGAGGCATGGAATTAAGCTTAATTTGGAGTAGGCTGGAGAGTATGTCTCTCCTCATTTCTAATTTTTTGTTTTGCACAGACTGTAGAGAAAGGCACTTGTTAAGTCAAATAATTTGGCTGATCGACCCAAGACAATTCTGACAATTTGGTAGCAAGGCCTAGTAAACCCAGGTCTGAGCTTTATTATCTCATTTTAGGTATGACGACATGACTGGATGCCCTTCTACAGCCATCAGAATGTAAGGGCAAAACATTCCAGCCTTTTCTTGGCTTTTTTTAAATTATGGAAACCATTTTGTTGATGGATTTTAAGTTTCTGTTGACCTAAAACAAAATATAAAATAAATAAAGCATTAGAAACTAATTCCTATATATGTTGTATTAAAAAACAAGAGGAATAATGGTAAAAAACAAATATGTACTGTTTTTTAAAGTGCAGGGAATGCTTTTGGAATTAAATCATTTTATGAGGAACTGCAGTTTAAAGTATTTGGCAGACTACTGACAACTAGGTTTAGGTCCCCAGGAGAACATTTGGGACTAGGATATGACCAGCCCAAGTTCTCCTCCAATCTCAGCCGACATCAGTGAAGGACAGGGAAAACTGGGAAGGATCCACTGCAGTCTTCACTAAGTTGGTGCCCTGTTTTGTGGTTCTAGGTAGCTAAGCTAGACTACAACATCCATTGCTCCCATACAGCATGGCCAGAGATGTTTGGAAAGAGAGTTCCACATATCTGGAGAGAGCGAGATTAAGAAAGATTATTTGACTGTTTCACAGGTCTTAAGTTATATAGATATCTCCTGATTCCACCAACTGCCCTTGGAGTAAAAAATAGACTGTCTGAATTTGTGCTTGGCCTGCAGCCAGCCTAAAATTCAGGAAATGTGAGGGCACCAAAAAAGTAGGGGAAAGTTTACCTGATTCTTTTAAGACAATTTAGAATTTAGTGCGGGTACAGAAAAGCATCAGGCTACAAGTTTGTTTTATATATTACGCTAAGCCACAGTTTATTTAACCAGTTTACTGAATAAACCAAAACTGGTTAGGTTCATACAATGGTCATAACCATGGCTTCCAAACCACAACGGTGGGGTTCATGTAATATACCAAGCCAATATCAAACAAACAACATTTTTGGCTCATTGTGATGTGTGAGACTAGCCAGCATCTCTCATCTCTGTTGCTGAAGCCTTTTCTTCCCCTTATAGAGGCTACTGGGAGGAAGAGCAACAAAACCACCTCCTCTGAGGCTGAAGGTATCTTCTAGGCCTTCTGGAGCACCCCAATTCCATCACAAGTGGCCACTATGGGAATAGAAAATTATTAAGAGTGGGTGTGTTTCCTTTTCCTCTCCTATTTGTTTTCCTTCTGTGTCACATACAGTATTTTTAGACTGAAAGCCTGAGGGCAGGGATTGACTGTTTCTATTCTTACGTAAGCTTCTTTGGGAGCCATTCAGGCTAAAGAGCAAGGTATAAATGTTTCTAGCAAGTCCACAGACTGAGCTTGTGCTTGTTTACTTAGAAGACATCTACTTTCCAGATGTCTGGAAGCTACCTAGAACCACAAAACAGGACTGGCAGCCATATACCTTCTTTCATCAATAAACAAAATACTTAATTAAACTTACTCCTGAGTGTCCAAGGCTACAGTCTTAATTTGATCATTGTCAGTTTCTGATACTAAGTCTTTATGTACAGTAGCAGGATGCATCTTGTAGTTACAAAGCCAGCTGCAAGGATAGGTAGATAGGTGGTGATATGGTGGCGGTTATAAAGCCAGCAGTGGGTGGGGTTATGCGTGCCACCTCAGCCATACACCTGCTGAAGAGTTTTACCTTGGATCTGGAGTGGCCCCTCTACACGCACACCATGTTTCATAACTGTCCCAGCCCGAGTCTGTCCCTCATCAAGCTCTCCTGGGCGTCGGAAATTGCAGCATTTCACATCCTCAAATACCTGGAACATCTCATATACACGAGCAGTGTACCCTGCTAGCTCAGTTGCCTGGAGGAGAAAGGAACAACTGCAATTCATTTACAGCTGGAATGCAAACTCAGATGTCACCTAATTAGACCTTTTGCCAGTGATTGTGGCAGTAGGCATTCTGGAGTTGTTTTCTCAAATGTGGGTCTTTTCATGATAGCCCAGAGTAACATGTTTCAAAGCATTTATCTAGCTCTTACTTTGCTGGAGCCATGTCTGGAATCATTCAGATCAGTATCTGCAAAAGGTATTCATAAGGTATAATCAAACTAATAATTAGGATTGGAGTAATCAGAAGAGAAATGGGTGTAACCAGTATCTCCTTAAACAAACATTTAAGTAGTGCATCAATTTTACTATTAGGGAACAGCAACTTATTCAACTAAGGCAACTACCATTCATTTAAATTATGTTCCTCTATTTAAAATGTTCAATGTGTCTCTGCCCCTTAGCAATAAAACTGAAAAACTTCATCCCTGAACATCTCAGCTTTTTATTTTTCTTGTTCCATTTCTAAGCTTTATGGATACAAAGGCAATTTTGATGCCAAATTCTTCTGGGGACCTGGGAGTATACTATAGAAACCCAATGTGCTGGTTATGGTTTCAGACGTAGAGTTCAAGTCCAATTCACCTATGCAGCTCACTGATTAGTTTGGGCCAGTCTGTCTCTCTCTCTGAGTCCAGCCTATCTCACACAGTAGCTTTTGTGAGGTGAAATTAGGAAAGATCCTCATGTAAACTAATTTGAGCATGCAGAGGAGAGGGATATAAATGCAATCGATCGATCGATCAGTCAATCAAACAGAGCAGGAACGGGGTAATTCAGTATGCGTTACAAAACAAGAAGAAATAAGGCCAAGAATGAATGGGTATTGAATGAATATGGACTGAATGCAAACATGAGTGACCTATATGAAGGAAGTATTTTGAGATGATTTGGTCATACAGTTAGAATGAATGAGGATCAAACTGCAAAGCAAATATATGAGGAAGAATGAATGTGGCAAAAGTGAAAGAGAAGAAAGTTATGGTTGGATGGAGTTGTTGAGAAACAGAGGCCAGAAATTTAAAGAAAAGGCAATGTATGAAGCAGTGCATGGACCTAATGGACGGAAGGAAGAATGATTTGCAAGAATAGGAAGATCGTTTATAAATCCCAATTATTAAGTCTATGCAACATGCTAAGCCAAATTAAAGAAGCTGTATTATTTTTTACCGTGATGTAGAAAACCAATCTTGCTGTCTGCATAGGACCCATAGAAGGCATTATATAGAAAGGTGTTTCAAAACACATATAAATTAATTTCAAAAGTATTTAACTGAAGATTGTCCAAACTGAGGAACTCTAGGACTTGTAGAGCTGTGGTAGGGCAAAGAACTCGAGGGAGGATTATTATTAATTTTTTATCCTGCTTTTTAAAATATATTTTGGCCAGCTCAAGGCAGTGAACATATCTAATACCCCCGTGAGGTGGGTTGGGCTGAGAGAGTGACTGACTCAAAGCCACCCAGCCAGCTTTCCTGCCTAAGCGAGGCCTAGAACACACACTCTCCTGGTTCCTAGACCAGCACTTTCACCACTACACCAATATGAGTCTCCTGGTTATCATATTCATTTGTGAAATTAAATTTCTTTTATAAAACAAGAATGATCACATCACAGCTGTTTTGAAAGGAGGTAAAATAGGGGTCACATCAATAGGACTGATGAAGCCTGAGAGATGGCTTGAGTTTGCATATCACTAAGTCGCGATGATGTCTATGGGCTTTGGTGCTAGCATAATGTATGAACATGGCCAATGTTGACCTGGTCATTAGATCTGGACTGAAAATCCAGATGACCACTAGATGGTAGCAAAGAAAGATTTCTGTATCTCTTTGCTGTCACCTAATGACCATCTAGATTTTTGCAACCTGATCTGATAGTCGTAGAGAAGATAGGAAAGATCTACCCGGATCCTGTGAATGTCTACTCAGAAATAAATACTATTGAATTAAATGGGACTTATTCTGAAGAGAGGCACGTAAAGGATAGTAGGATTCAATGTGTTTGTCTAGATGGTAACAGATGAAAACCAACCTTATGAAATATTACCAGCACAAGGTCAACGGTCATGGGTGTGGCTCCTGGAAACTACTAAAAATCCCCAATCTAGGATATTAAGAAGCAACTGATAGCTGATACAACGCCTTTCTGCTCTCAGAACTTGCAAGACCGAAGCCCTGCCTGGATGTGGGTCATGCTTTACAGAGTATATGACTTTTAGAATTGTATCTCAGGAGATGATAAAGACACAGAGGCTTATTTACATCCTTCATCTGAGGCTCAAACTGACCGAGTTCTTCCCCAGGCAATTGAAACATCTGTACCTCTTTGTAGGAAGAGATGACCCTCTCTGTGGCATCAGCTGCTGCAGTCAACAGACTCCGTGCTGTGGTAAAAGCTTCAGTCCTCAGGCTTATCCATTCCTTCTCCTCCATCTCCAATGCAGCTTGTTTCACTGCCTCTGAATCTGGCGGAATAAAATTGGGACAAGGAGGGAAAGCTGGAACAGTTAACTTAATTTCTCAGCTGACTTCTACTGTCCACAAATCCCATTTTCCTACTAGGAATCACTTTCCTTGAAACTCTAATTTGAGGGAGTTTGTTCATGCTGCAGTCTGGCACCTGTTGAAAATACCAGCATGAGAACACTCCTGTGATCTGGTCAGAACAGAAAAGGCATTCTTCCACAAAATTATTAATCAAATAAAACTCCAAATATTGCTTTAAAATGTTCTGTACTAAAGCTTCACGAGGAAGACAGCTATTCATCCTTTAGGTTTCTCTTAATCCCAAAAAGATCTGTGGCATTAGATTTAAACACTCAGTGGAAGCTGCAGATGAACTACTTTTGATTCTACTGGGTTTGTTTCATGGGATTCAAAACCACAGAAGGGAGCAAAATCTCTATACGCTGAAAAATTAAATGCAAAGAAAGGCTTTAGTCTAATCATCTTCCTGACATATATTTGGGACAACTAGCAGATGAAAAAATGTTAACATGAAGTTAATGCACTATCTCCATGAAGAAGTACAGTATATGTATGGAACAGATAAGCTGACTGATCAGGGTGTTATCACTGATTAATTTCATAATCAGAGCCAGTTAAGGTGTTGGACTAGGAATGGGGAAACCTGAATTCTAGTCTAGCTTTAGGCATGAAAGCCAACTGGATGACTTTGGGCCAATCACTCTCTCTCAGCCCTAGGAAGAAGGCAATGGCAAACCATTTCCAAAAATGTTGCCAAAAAACTGCCAGGACTTATCCAAGTAGTTGCCAAGAGTCAAGACTGACTTGAAAGCATAAATAAATAAATATTTATCATAAATCACACACAATGTGAATCTACTGAATCATAACTTCCACCTCATGGATTCAATCTCATTAAGTGCTCCTTGTGGTACAAACTTTGCTGATCCGCATATTTTCTAACAGCACCAAAGAGAGCTCCACACATCAAAACATCATCTACTCCCCATCCCACAACAAAGGAGGGAAAGCTGTGTCTCTGCTTTGCCTCTTCCCAAATCCATCCTCTTTCCTAAAGCTAGGGCAAGCATTTCTGTCCAGATCAAAGTTTCAGATTTGATTTCCAGTTTCTGTCCAGATCACATTTGATCAGATTGCCAACTCATTGGATGTGCACAGTACTCAATCACATTCTAGTCTCGCATTATGTGCAAGCTTCACCTGTGGGGTTAGTTTTAGTTAGCGTATTGTGCCAATCCCAAAAATGGGCTTAGTAATGATGCTTCAGTTAACCATGGGTAAATGTATTTGTACAAACCACTATAGGGAACCAACATCAGGGGAATAATGATTTTAGGCTTTTAATGGAATACCAAGGTATTTGGGAACCTTCTGCAACCTGGAGAACCAGCTGATGGGGGAGAGCTTGACCTCCCTCATCAGCTTGTTTTCCATCCTGCCCCCCGCCCCCGGAAAGTACCCATTCCTGCTTTTCCCTTGTAACCCTCTTGCTCCTTTACAATGGCTACCCAATCATGGCTACAAAATTAAGCAAAGAGCTACAGAAAACAGAAAGCAGAAGTCTCTGCTGCAATGTAGTGATCATCTGGAGTCTTGCAGCCCAGATCTTGTAGTCTTACTTCTTCTTTCCCGCCTGTCAAATTGGGGTTCTGTGCAAGTGCTTATTGTGGAACAGCACAGAGAACAAGGTTACGAGTGAAAACAAGCAGGCATAGGAAGGATTAAATAGGCTCCCAAACCGTCCCTGCCAAGTATTTCATCCAACCTTGAAAATATTGTGGTATTTCAAGACTTCAGTGCTCAGACTGCTTTTGCTCTGAGGTGTTGAGCAATAAAACCACTTGTTGTTACTGTTCTCTCTCCCACCTGTTCAGTTTTCTACTCCCATAACTGCATCTTTCTCTGCTTGGTTGCATTTTCCTGTGACCATTTCCATACTAGTGATTCTAGAGATCTGGAACTGAAGGGGAAAAGCTGAATTGGAGTATGTGTGTAAGTGTACATAGAGCAATCCCTTTAACCAACTATGTCTTTACTTGCATGCAGCTGTTGTTCTGCAATCACAGGAAAAAAATATGTTAGCTTTAAGGAGGTACTGACAGATGCTACATAGGCACTCATGCACACTTTGAATCTATATCTTTACATAGCCCCAGCAATTTATAGTGCATTAAGGCATCACCCAGCCATTGCCATCAGTAATTATTATGATATATAGACTCAGGAGTGATTGGATGACACTATTAATCACTAGTGTGGAAACAGACTGTATGAGACTTGTAGACCCAGAGCCAGTGAGAAGCTGCCCCAGGCTATTCTGCCCTCACTAAGCCTTCAAGTGAGCTAGCAACTGGTGTTTCAGCCTTCATCTTGAAAACATCCTTAATGATTCCATATTGATCCTCTCCCAGCCCCTGCCTGTTATCATGTGAGCTTTAATGCCCATTTTGTTATTTTAGACCATGTTGCTCCCGAAGAGCAGCAGCTTTTGCTTCTTTCTCCCATCCTCACCTGTCTCAGAGTAGCCAGTAGCAGTGATGATTGGCACAGCCACCATGACCAGCCCAGCAGCACTCCACACATACTTCATGAGGAACTGTTCCAGCATCACATACCAGAGTCTCTCCAGGAGCAGCACATTGATTTGGGAGGCCAGCTCATGATAACAATGCCGCAGAAGGGACAGCTCCACCTGAAAAGAGCATCAGGAGGAAACAAGGTGATTTGAGGTTTAAACCACAAAGATAAAGGCCCCTCCATATAGCTCTTATTTCAACAACTGCCCACAACTGTAAATGTATCAAAGGCAAACTGATGCGATCCTGAGTCTATAAACTATAAAAACTATAAAAAGCATCAGTCTATTGAAGGAGACATCTGTTCTCACAGGCTGGGTTCACACATCATATTAAGCCAAAACCCAAAAAAAATCATGATGTATGAATCTAACCATAGTGGTTTGCAATCAGGATTTATGACTTAGAGTGTTGTACAGACCTAGGTAATTGTGGTTTATTCAATAAACCAAAATGAAATATACCGTGAGTTAGTATAATATGCAAACTAGTTTGCAGGGCAAATACATCCGAAACTCAGAGATTCCCCAATGAAGAATCTGGTTTGTTATGTGATGAGAAGTTACAGCCAAATTATTTCCCCCACTAGCTTCAATGCCTTTCACAGCATATTTGTATACGAGAATCAGCAAGTGAACTTTTACTTTATCTCTATGCCAAGAAAAAAAAATCACCTGTTAAAGCTTTGAACAGCAGCCTGTCTTTAAAGAAGTTGGAACAAGGTATGTTTTAAAAAGAAGTAGCAACTTTAATCATTCCTTTGTTGTCCATCTTATAGAAATACTATGGGTTAATTCCAACTTGCATCTCAATGCAATTATGTGATTACAGTCTTTAATATCTTAGTTATAATTCTCAGTGAACTCAAATACAGCAGAATAGAGCTGCTTACATTTTAAGTAGCCCTTCTCCTTTCATCTTAAAGTAAGTTTATAAGCAGGAAAGTTTTGTTTTGAAGGGTGGTTTAAAAGTTTTTTAAACAGTAATAAAAAAGTAAATATTGCTACTTCTATGCCAAGGAAAGAAGTACTATGTATGGATTTCTGTCCAGCTAAGCTACTGTGAAAGGAACAGGGATGGGTAAAAAAAGAAATAGGTATGCTGTGAGTCATCAGCGGTAAGTGATATATCCCAATGAATGAACTGCACCAGACTGTCCCTCTCACTCTGCAGAAGGGTTAAATAATAAGGCAAAAGAAGGTGTAAACAGAAGAAAATTAAAGAGAAGGATAAGAATTCTAACCTTTAGTTGCTCGACAGCATAATTCTAAAAATCTTCACTTGAAACTACGTTCAGTGGAACTCTCCCCATTCCAATTTTAGTTAAGAATTCAAGACTGCAGCCTTGTCCATTCTTATATATGAATTAGAGAAGAAATGAAAATGGAAATTTTCTTATCTTCTCTAATATTTATCTTATCTCAGCTGTCCAAACAGGCCTTATTAAGCTCTCACTGGCACAAAGGAGACAGCCTGAACTACATCACACTTTGGATCTGAACTCCATGAATCCTAATACAGTTTGACTGGCATTTTCTGATCCACAATGAGCATAGCATGAATGAACAATAAAGCTAGTTCTGTGGTGTGTGTGTGTACATCCACTCTGAATTATGGTCCTTATATTCAAATAGGTAATACAAGCTGCAAAGACTAGCTGAAAAGTCACAAATGACTGGGATAAATGCATGCCCCTAAGAAACCTCTGAACTTCAATATGCCCCCTACAGAATCCAGCAGCTGACACAGTGCAGACTTCTATCATATAACAAATGTTATTACTCGTATGCCTAATGCTAGTCATGAGATATTGTTGATCCCCTGCTTGAAAAAGCAACTACTGCACTTTGACACTTCTTTTTATTTGAGATGAACCTTGAAAGGGACAGGCAGCACTTGGCCCCATTTGTTTGTGATTTCTGTGATTATGTGACCCTTGATTTTGAAAGAAAGTTACCACAGGGAGAGTTGTTTGGCCTTGGAACATGCCTTGCACAGCTGCATTAGTACTGAAGGGCAGGGAACCATTAGGGTATATGAAAGATGTGACTGTTGGTATCAAATTCTCTTTCCCTGTGGTAAAACATCCTTTCTTTCTCCATCCTCTAAGAACAGGGGTTTTGATTCACACCTGTATCCCTTGTGGTATTTCCCATTTCTCTATCTGGGGATAAGAAATTCCCCTCATCATGCACAGACACCCCCACACATTTGCTGCCCTTCAGTTCGCTCCTCTGCCTGGCAATGCAGGAAACTTAAAAAGACAAGCCAGTGCCAAACTTAAAAGGCCCTGGGGCTACTTTGACTGTTCATGCAGGAATCAAGTAGGATCAACAGAAACTAAGAAAGATTTTTACAAGACTTTGGGCAACAAGGACAGATTATAGATTATAATCAGGGTCAGGGCCCCAGCTGTGCCTCAGGACAAATTCAAGGAGACAACAAAGGAAGGAAGTAAACAAGGGTGCTGGTCTAAGTCCCAGCATATTATCCTGTTTGGGGACAGCTTCACTTCACCTAAGGCAGAATTGAACTGAGTTAGCTGCCACCCTTTCATTGTAGTTCTACAGGAGAAAATGGGAAAATTACTAATACAAAGAATAAAAATAAAATATCTTTCTTCTACTTTTCTAGTTATACTGTATTATAATTCCCCATTCAGAACCAGAAGAGTCCTGATATCCCATAGACTTCCCGTCTAAAAATTAAATCTTATTTTTCTACTGAAGAATCTTGGCATCCTGACTCCTCACTTTACCTTATGCCCCCCATAGAAGGCAATCTCTTCTGAATTGGCCACCACACGAGAATGCATGTAGCGCAGCTCTCCTTTCCGACGTGCTTCCTCAGCCACCAGTTGTCCAAACTTTGGTGAACAGGCGCGTAGCACCTTGGCAGTGATGCAGACTACCAAACCAGCAATGACTGAGGGCCAGGCGGTGTCAGCTCCCTTTGATCTAGCTGAACTGAGCAGAGTATAGGAAGTCACAATGAGATCGAGGACAGGCTTGGTCAAGTTTGAGTAGAGATGGGCCATGGAATTAGCGAAGGCCACCAAATCCTCTGTGAGCGACTGGTCTGGGTTGCGCAGCCGTCCATCCATGTTGCTGACCCGGTAGTAGGTCTGGCCCTCAAAGTAGAGCTGATAGGCATGGTCCACTAAGCGTCCACGGAAGGCCAGGCTCAGTTGTCCTTCCAGGTACCGAATGGCACTGTTAACAAAAGTAGCTGGGAGGGCAATGAGGAGCCACTGAAGAAGCTGCCACGTAAAGTCCCGTGGGTTCTTACGGACAATGCAGCGGGCCAATCGGCCATCCAGCTGGGCCACATAAACTGAGAGGAAGGTGCGGCTAGCGAGGGCAGCTGAATGCAAAGCCAAGAGTCCTGTCTGCCGGCACAGTGGCCCGGGGAACAACAATCTCAGGAGACGAAGGAGACGGAGAAAGAACACCTTGTTCACACCAGGTGGTGATGCGGTGGCCTCTTCGAGCGCCCTCCACTTGGCTGTTGATTCCCTGGGACTGGTGGTCCCTGAATTCACCTGGAGGTCTGAGGCAGCCCACTGTCTTCGTAGGATGGGGTACAACTTCCTAGCCCCATATGCTGCCACCAACAGTGCCACGGCTGCTCTTTTTGCAGTGATTCCTTGGCTCAGCCGTGTGGCCACCTTTGCTGTGGTGAGGGGCATAACGCCACTGGGTGGAGGCCCCGCCTCCTCTTCGGTTTCGACTTCTCCTTTTCCTCTTCCAGCTCGAAAGCTGCGTTCTCTGACTAACTATAGCAAGGCTGACTTGCCGCCCGGAGTCCGCTCCCATCCCACAATGCCCAACCCTCGGAATGACAAGAGGGGAGGGAACTGAAGAACGGCCATCCCTCAGATCATAGAGAGAGCCTCAGGGCTCTGTAGAGAGGACGAGAGAGAAAGGGACGTTTCTCCAGGTGGCCAGTAGAGGGCGAAGGCGGGAAGAGGTCTCCGAGGTTCTGCGTTCTGAGAAAAAGAAAGACGCGAAGGTTCGGAAACAGCCTTCTCCCCTGCCAGGGCGTTTCCGTCCCGCCCTTGCCATCCCACGTGACAAGAGCGGTTCAGTCCACTTCTCAAAAGCCGTGGACTTAAATGGGACGTATCTTCGAACAAATAAACGTGCCAGTAGATTTGTTTGCTTTGGAGTTGCTATGACTCATCCATTATCACAAGCGTTGGAACCAGCGTTTTTTCCCCCTCCTAATAACTGAAGCGGAGAACCACATGTTATCAGATGACTGTAGTTTTAATAACACGCCAATGGCTTTTTCAAGTCATTGGGTCGCGTGTATTAGTGGTCACGTAGATATAATACGCGTCTGTGCGAAAGAGAATTGCTTTTCTTGCTGGATCATGTGACAGTCTATCCCATCAAAACTAAGAGCACGCTGATCAAGCTGCGATAATGCTTCTTGTCTTTCCATTTCATCTCTACTGCTCTGCAAAAGTGAAGACATGCAATAATTATAAGCACAATACAAGCAGTTGCTGCCCAAAAACCCTTCCTACTGCTGCACCGAACTCACGTAGGGCTGTGCAGAAGGTAGAAGCTGTTGTCCCTAAACTGAGGTCCTAACAACCATACAGAAGGTGTAACTTCGTGAGAAATACAAGAAGGGATACAAAAAGTAAGCTAGTGTGGGAGGAACAGTTGTTGCTAATTGTGTGCTGGTGGCTGACTCAATTATCTGCAAGATACAACAGTGGAAAAGCTTCAGGAATTATTTGTGTAAATGAATTAGAGTTCAAAGCTGACATTAAAGAGATTAAAAATAGAATCTGCCCCGATTGTCATTACTGAAGGATCTGAGGAATAAACAGTCCACAAAAACTCATATGCGAGCTGCACTACTCTGAAGCCATCTCCTACATTTCACTACAATGCCCATGAGCAAAATCTGTTATTTCACAATCGACGGTGAAGCCTGGTATCTTAACGTTTGTGTCATTTACAACACAGCTGTTGGTGTTTTTCTTTCACATTGGCTCAAAAGGCAGAGATTTCTTAACTCTGTACTGTAAATGCATTTCACCAAGCAGTTGTTTCGATACCTAATAGGTTATTGTTATACATAGTAATCCTTACATAACCAAAAGCCAGAGGGCAAGACAGTTTTGAAACAAGAAACACAGATTTCCCAAGAAATCACAGCCAGATTAATATATAATAAATATTTATCTACGAGCACATACATGACTTGTTTTTTCCAGGTGTTTCTAAATTGAGTGGTATGCCAGGGATGATTACCCTGCTACTATTTGATGCTGCATCTTCTGAAAGCTAAGCGATTGTGTGGCCTGCAACTGGGAGATGCTGAGAGCATCTGCTGCACTCAAGCTGCAGCTACTGGAGCTGCTTTTACTTGTTAGATTTATATCCAACCTTTCTTGCAAGAGTTCAAGGCAGTGTACATAAGGTCCTTTTTTGCATGTCCCCCCACAAGGACACCCCTGCAAGGTAGGATGGGCTGAGAGAGAATGTCTGTCTGAAAGACACTCAGTGGCTGAGGGTGGACTACAACCAAGGTCTCCCTGGTTCTGGTCTGACACACTGAGCACTATATGGGCTTCCAGGAGGCAGTTTCCAAGCGTATGCCTACTGAAGGGCATTGTTTTGATACACAATTTTACACTCTCTCATAATGTGTGGGCATGCATGTGATAGTGCACTCTA